TGGTTCTCATCACAGTTTTTGTATACATTTCTATTTTGTTTTGGTACCTTAAAATCAACTCATGTTGGTTTTTCCACACAGCTTCCTAGTCTTTGTGTATCTTATTTTTATGGCTGGGAATTTACTACAATTAACCATTCCACTGGTGTTGGGCATTTACATTATCATAATAATGATCACTTATTCACTCTTCCCTATGGCCACTCTATAGGTGCTGCATTAGTTATCTGTTGCTGTGTCACAAATCATACCAACATTTAGCAGCCTACAATGAGCATTTATCTGTGGTGGGCATCTGTGGTCCCAGCTATTCGGGAGGCTGAGGCAAGAGAATCGCCTAAGTCCAGGAGTTGGAGGTTGCTGTGAGCTGTGATATAATAGCACTCTACCGAGGGCGACCAATTGAGACTCTGTTTCTAAAAAAAAAATAAATAAAATTTGATGTTCAACCCTAAAAAAATCCCCCCAAACAATGAGCATTTATCATTTCCCATAGTTTCTGAAATTCAGGAATCTGGGAGCAGCTTAGCTGGGCGGTTCTGGCTCAGAGTCTCTTATGAGGTTGCATGCAAGCTGCTGTCTGGGCCTGTAGTCATCAGGGGATCGTAGCTCGCAGCCCTCAGTTTCTCATCATGTGGGCCTCTTCGTAGGCTGCCTGAATGTGAGTCCTCACCTCTGGCTTCCCCAGAACCAGTTGAGAAAGAGAGAGAAAGAGAAAAATAGAAGTCACAGTGTCTTTTATAACCCAAACTTGGAAATGACTTACCGTTACTTCTGCTGTATTCTACTGATCACTCCTGCTACCTATAAGGGAGAGCTAGTCCTGGGTGTGGATATCAGGAGCAGAGGGATCTGGGGACCATCACAGAGGCAGGCTGCAGGAGGCCCTTCTGATCAAGAGATTGAGCTCTCTGCTTCCCTTCCCTTTCTTTCACCATGTTCAAATTCGGAGTCTTAATTTAAGAAAACCTTTGTGGCAGGAACAATTAGCCCCATCCAATTCTATACAGAGAATTCATTTCTCTACCCAGCCCAAACTCTCTTCACTTACATCCTGCTTCCTGAATTGCAGGGATAAAGAAGTTATCTTTATAGATAATAATCGGTTTCTGGAATTTTTCAGGCACCCTGCATTGGACTTGTACTGAGAAATGAGGTAACACACATCTTTCAAATTCATCCTTTCAGCACAAGAAACGCTATTTAACAACTCCCCCAACCAAAAAACAAAAACCCCCTTTGGAAAAACCCAAACAACAGAAAACAAGCAGTGCTGGCATAGATGTGGAGAAACTGGAACCCTTGTGGGTTGCTGGTACAACAGCTGGAAAATAGTATGGAAATAGTATGACAGTTCCTGAAAAAGTAAAAAACCATGTGATCCAGCATTTCCACTTTTGGATATCTACACAAAAGAATCAAAAACAGAGATTCAAACATATATTTGTATATCCAGCTAGGCACAGTAGCTCCTACCTGTAATCTCAGCACTTTGGGAAGCTGAAGCTGGAGGATCACTTGAGGGCAGGGATTTGAGACCAGTCTGAGCAATATAGCGAGACTCTGTCTGTAAAATAATAATAATAATAATAAATTAATTAAAAAGCCCTGGCTCTTAAAAAACAAAACAAGAACAAAAAGAGAATTTTAAAAATTATATGAATCAACAAGAATACATCTTAGAAACTTAATGTTGATTTAAAAAAATAGCAGAAAGATATGTATGTATACACTAATCTTATGAACAAAGTATTTGAATATATATGTATGAGGTAAAATGATGAAATAAGATAGTAGCTACCCTCTGGAGAAGGAGAAAGGAAATGGGATTGAGGAGGAACACATAAGGGCTTCCACTTTCTCTGTGATGTTATTCCTTAACCTGAGGAGTACATCAATGTTTGTTATAGTCTCTCTTTTTTGTTTTGATCTGTCTGAAATAGTTCACTAAGCCAACCCCACATGGTAGCAAAAATAAGTAAAAGGGAAATGAAAAAAATAATCTCAAACCCCAAAAGCCAAACTTCAAATGACAATAACCAACTTCCCATATCCCCTACCATTGTAACACACCAAAATAATGTCAACCTAGGGCAGTGCCTGTGGCTCAGTGAGTAGGGTACTGACCCCACATACTGAGGGTGGCGGGTTTGAACCTGGCCCCAGCCAGCTAAAACAGCAGTGGTAACTGCAACAAAAATAGCCGGGCATTATGGCGGGTGCCTGTAGTCCCAGCAATTTGGGAAGCTGAGGCAAGAGAATCACCCTAGCCCAGGAGCTGGAGGTTGCTGTGAGCTGTGATGCCAAGAACTCTATTGAGGGTGACAAAGTGAGACTCTGTCTCTAGACAAAACAAAATAATAACAATGTCAACCTTAAATACACTTTTAAAAATACTGTTCTATATTTGTATATCTCCTCTCACTCTCTCCACTGTATCTAAAACTATTTCTTTCTTTTTGATGACTAATGTGTAGGTCATTCTGGGAATTTAGATATTAGTACATGACAGTGACCATGGTGGTGATGTCAGGGTGTGAGTCTGGGGAGGGGCATGGCTATTTCACCTGACACCCTAGGGAATAATTCCTCTGGTGCTCAAATGTAGCTGTGCAGCATATGCTATGGACACCTTTTTATCAAGCCAACATGTTTTCTCCCAGCTCCTCAAACTGGAAAACATTTATGAATAATTCTACCAACATCCTCTGGAGAGAAAGAATTCTAATCCCAAGGCTAGAAGATTTTTAAGGTTCAACCATGTGAAGGTTATGAGGGTTTTTTTTTTTCCCCTGATGTATGCTTGCCAAACAATTCCCAATATTGTGTAACAGGAGATTCATCACTCAGACAACAATGCTCCCATTGAGAGAGCAGTCCTGGCACACACATACATCACCCTTAATTCACCAGAGCAAAATCTTAGTTAACCCACAAATATTATGGGCACACATAGGTAAAAAAATCCCAAATATCAATCAACCAAAAAAGGAAAAATTGTTCAAGTCCACCCATGCATTAAATCAATGGGTTTGACACCAATGCAAGGAAGCTTTGAAATTGATTTTCTTCTTGTCTCTCAACCACTTCACATGTGAAAAGAAGTACTTAAAGCAGCAGAAAATAAGATAATTCTGTGGTTTGCTCTGTTTAACAAAGGAAGTGTTATGGGACTCTAGTAGGTCAGAAAGTAGGTTTGAGAACTCAGAGTTATAAAAGAACCAGACAAAGTTGGGGTGCAAACCTCATTTAAACTTAGCACATTAATGGTAACTGTACATAAGTGTGTCATTCTGAAACCAGTTTTATTCTTTGGGTATATTCTTGATTAGATAACTTCATATTTCCATATTCAGAAATGATCTGGCCTCTAACTTATTCCCACCTTCTGTGAGGACTACATGAAATTTCTAGGTATCTTAAGCCTTTATAGGTGAGAATTTACTGGAAACAGAGCTACTATTCTCAATTTGGTAGGTGTATTCTGTTCCTGGTGGGAAAACTAAAACAAAAAAACCAAAAAAACTTCCTACAGTCCTTCCCTCTTTATTAAGTCCCTTCCTCCTGACAGCCTTTTTTCTTGACCAAGTATACAAGTAAAAAAGGAAGAAAACTTTGGAGTGCCCTTTTGAGTCTTTAGCTTATGGGTCATATGAAATGGTTCCTCTAACGTTCCTCATTTTTCTACAAATGTGAGTTCTTAGTACAAGAGGCTGGAAGGAGAGACTGGGTCAGTGGAGCTCAGCCTAACGTATGGGTGGATAACTCAGACCTTATGTTCTACTGATGGAGTTGCAGAAGCATCATCTTCATACACAAAGCCCATCAGTCAGCCAATAAGCATTTCCTGAATGCCTTGCCTGTGTTCAGAGCTGAGTTATGCGAAGAGGTCAGTGTGGTATGATGCCAGCATGGTAGATGCCAGACTGGAAGCCAGGAGACCTGCCAATTATTTGATAAAGACAACCCCAAACTCCAAGACTTACCCCTCCCAAGGCCTCACTGTCCTTACATGTATTAATAAAAATTAGGAGACTATAGTGGTTAACCTCAGCTTTAGGTTTCTTCTAACTAGAACTGCAGTAGATTTCAAAGTAAGATAATTAGCTCCCAGGCTCTTTTATCTCAAGAGGCTTCCAGATAGCTGGGAGGCTGAGCAATCACACCATAAAGGTCTGGGCACTTTCTTCTCAGGTGGTGCAAAAGGGCTACTCATGATGCTCCTGCTATACTGGATTTCTGCCCATTCTAAATGTACCCTCTAGTCCTGCCTCGGGGCCTGTGGACTTGCTGGCCTTGCTACCTTGAGCTTCCTGCAGGAATGGTGGCTCCTTCCTCCCTTCTCATCATGCTGATCTCCTTAGATTGGCTTCTTCTTCTCTGAGACTGCCATCTCTTACAACTATTTCTAAAGGTCTTCCTTAATGTTCTCTTATTTTTGCATTCATTCCTCCTTGTACTCTCTCAGTTTGTGATCATTTTACTTGTTTGTGTTTGCATCTAGAATGTTAGCTCCGCGTAGAGGTCCTTTTTCTTTTGTTCAGAAGTGTATACACAATGCCTAGTACCATAGTTAAGTCTAACGGATATTTGTTCAATGAATTAAGTTTGACAACTCCAAAATTCCAAGGAACCAGATGACATCTAAAGATATTTTCCCACAAATTCCCTTTCTTTCGGGTTTCCTACGTCAGGCTGGGCTGTCACACAGGCTGAAATAACTGCCTTCCACTGCGTGCTTTCTTTATATCTCGGTATTTCTTTTCCTTGAGGAAAAAGGCTCTTAAGACATCATGGCGCACTCTCTTGTGCCGTAGTGACATCATTATCGCGCTTACTACACTACAAGCCCAGGCGCAGGGCCCTTCTCTTTCCTTCTGAAGTTCCGAGGATCCCAGACACAAGCTCCCTCACGTTTCCAGTCCGCGAAGTCCCAAAGCTCTACGTTGCATCCGCCAGCACGCGCAGCGATGACATCACGCTCCAGGGCTGGCGTCACGTGCCCCCCCCCGCGGGGGGCGGGTCTCAAGGGCGGCGCTTCCGGTCGGCAGAGCCCGGCGGCCAGAACGACGGCGGCGGCGGCGGAGACGCTGGGATGGCGGGCGTGGGGAGCGAAGCCCGGTTTGCCGGGCTGTCGCTGGTGCAGCTCAATGAGCTGCTGGAGGACGAGGGGCAGCTGACGGACATGGTGCAGAAGATGGAGGAGGTGAGCCGAGCGGGGGCTCGAGGCGGCGGCTATGTGGGGCCTCGAGTGAGATTCGCGCCTCGAGCGGTGGCCGGACCGCGGTGTCTTCAGTCGCGTTGAAGGGACTGGGACGAGAAATAGAGGGGTCGTTGAGGAAGGGTTCAGGAGTCGGGAACGTGACTGGTGCCGAGGCGGGCATGGGGAGCCTCAGACAGGGTTTAGAGAACCGAGGGGACGTAGACGAGGACTGAGGCGGGAAAATGGGTCCTGAGACGGGGCTTGGCAGCTGGTTCGGGGGAGTAAGACAAGGCTTGGTGCAGGGCTGGGTCTGTAGGGGGAATTAGAGAGTCTGGAATGGGGATTACGAGACTAGAGGGTTAAGTGTGAGTCTGGGGGGATGAGGAAAGGAATCGGGGGATCCGAGATTGGGTTGCCAGGAGCAGGGGGAAGAGATTAGAGGTGAATGACTGGGCCGAGGGTTAGGTCTGGGAAGGGATGGGGGCGTCCAGAGGGACTGGGGCAGTTATTGGGGGTCTTAAGAATAGGTTTCGGGGGGGCGGGCTGAGCGAGTTAGCTGGATATGATTTTTTTTTTTTAGAGACCGAGTCTCACTCTGTTGCTCTCGGTAGAGTGATGTGGCATCACATCTCACAGCAACCTCCAGATTTTGGGCTCAGGTGATTCTCCTACCTCGGCCTCCCAAGCAGCGGGGACTACAAGGCGCCCACCACGACGCCTGGCTATTTTTTGTTACAGTTTGGCTGGGGCCGGTTCGAACCCACCACCCTCGGTATATGGGGCTGGTGCCCTACTCACTGAGCCACAGGCGCCGCCCGCCTGGGTATGATTTTTAGGGTTCCAAGATGGGTTTGAGAGGCTGAGGGTGTGTAGTTGAGTCTAGTAGGTGGTTCTGAGAGCTTTAAGGGATAGACAGGGATCCCCAAAGTTCAGAGGCAGAAAATCATGGAACATACATAGCCGGGGTAACGTTCAAAGGGTCCATGTGTCTGAGGGGATCCCAAGAGTCTGACTTCATTTAGAAGTGGCCCTAGCAGCGTTATCCCAGGGAGGTGAACCTAAGGGTGGTAGCAGGATCCCTCTTTCTGTAAGGGTTGCCCCCTCTTCAGGAAAGGAGACAGTGTGGGAATTCTAGTGTGGTTGGCTTTTGCACCATGGTGTCCTACCCTTCTGGGGCTGAGAAGGGTATTGTGGGGAAAAGATAAAATGATGGTTGGGGGTGACTGCCAACCACTACCTCTGCTGTGGAGGGCCCTGCCCAGCTCTGGAAGGCATGTGACTGACCTGCTTTTCTGGTTATTTTCCTTCATACAGTGTGGTTTGCTCTGAGGGGTAACTGACTTCCTCAGATTTGCAGAGTGTGCTCTGTTTCTCCAAAAGTCTGATCTTACCAGTTTAGGTCCCTTCCAGGCAGGTGGACCCAGGCTAATCTCAGCTCTCCCTGGCCTACCTACTACTCCTGCTCCTTTATCTCTGAAGTCTAATCCTTCCCACGCATACAGTGCTGAGTCGCTCACCCAGAAGCCCATGTGGGGGTTTTTGGCTTTCTTTCCGAAGAGGGATTGTTCAGCACCAAGCCAGCCCCCTTAAAAAAGGGCTTGTATGGAGGTTGCACATTCAAAATCCCTGGAAAACCCTCAACAGATCATTGTCCGGAGCTACAGAGAGGCCACTGTAGTAAGATGGTATCAGTCTTTCCATTAATACACCCCTTGTATTCACAGGCTTTGTAACTTGGCACATAGAACAGTTGCTCCAAGATGCAATTTACCCCATTTATGGTCTCCATGTGGCACTTTACATTCTAGAGAATAATAAGTGACAAAATCCATCTTTTTTGACTTAATGAGAGTTTCATGTCTCCAAAGGAAAAAAATCTTTGCTTATTTTCTCTGGTTTTCAGTTGCGGGAGACCTTTTGTTGGTTGTCAGCAGGGCATCTTTCTAGTTTAATAATAAAATGATAGGTATATTTTTCTAGCACTGTCCACAAGTTATTTTGGTGTATGTGGCTATTCTGTTCCAGTAAGAACAGAGTATTGTAGTTTTATTGGTGTAACATTAAATAAACTGCCTTTTAGTGGGAAGAAGATTGTGGAGGAGTTAATTCTACCAACTTGGAAGGCTGTTAGGGATGGCCTCATTTGTCTTACCTGAGAACCTGGAGATTATTTTTTAAAGGAAAAGATAAATTAATTTAGCAGGGTTTTCTTTTTTTGTGAGTAAAAGTAACCTTTATGCCAGAGCACCCTATAGAAATAAATACTCAGGACTGATACCAGTTGATCAGACTGCATAGTTCAAGTTAAATTACTCAGCATTAGTTTGCTTTTCTGGGTGTAGCACTTTTAAAACAAGGAAACTCAACGTGAAAACCAGAATGCCTCAGGCAGTTCACCTACCCAGGGTCACTCTTTGCAAATCTTGTTGCCCTAGTCATGCACGGTGCCTTTCTGAAGGAACGGGTGTAACGTGAAAATTTAGCTGACATTTTTGGCCATTGTAGTTTCAGTCACCTGGCAATGATGTGCGTTGGTTTAATTGGGGGTGGCTGTGGGACACCACTGAAGAGAATGTTTTGTGAACTGTCTACTCTTGACCAAAGGGAACATTTATGATGATGTGTTAAAAGAACATTCAGGCTTTGGAATGGACTTGGCTAGTTCCTTTCTGTGTAATTGCAGGCAAGTCACTTCTCTGAGCATCTGCTGGAAAAGGATATGATAAAGACATCTATTTCAGTGGGTTGATGTGAGAATTAGGTGAGATAACACCTGACAGGTGATAACAGGACCCCTTGTTAAACGCTTAACACAGCCCATAGTTAGGGCACAATAAAGAGTAATTGCAGTAATTAACAATTGTAGTCCTCTCTTTTTTGAAAGATTACTGACAATTATTAATACCAGGTCATCCTGATAAGTTAATCGGGTCTCATTTCAAGAATTTCAAGTAAATTTATTTGCCATTAGCCTAAGAAATACTTGCCTTTTCTATGGTCAAAATGATTATATATTTAAGTCGGTCTAGTATGAGATGTTAAATGGAACAGGCCTTTCACAGCATAGATTATCTCTTTTTTTTTTTTTTTTAAGACAGAGCCTCAAGCTGTCGCCTTGGGTAGAGTGCTGTGGCATCATAGCTCACAGCAACCTCCAACTCCTGGGCTCAAGGATAGACTCTCTTAACCTGAACCAAAGCACTTTTATTTATGTATTTTATTTTATTTTTTTCTGCAGTTTTTGGTTGGGGCTGGGTTTGAACTCACCACCATCTCTGGTATATGGGGCCGGTGCCCTACTCCTTGAGCTATAGGCTCTGCCCCGCACTTTTTTTTTTTTATTGGCAGAAGGAAGTCTTTTAAATTGTAGTTTAAGGCTTCTTTAAGCCTGAGGGGATATTTTGTGGCGACTGGAAAGTGTGGCTGGGTTTTGAAGGCATTCACTGTTAGGTTTAAATACAGCTATTCATTTTGCTTCACTTACATTGTTTTAATTGTGGTGTGTGAGTTTTAGTGCAGCTCAAGACATTTAAAAGAATGTCAGAGTTTTCAGGACCCGTGTTATCTTTTCCTGTTCTTCCTGTTCATTATACAGTTCCCTAAATGTGGTATATCCATAGTGATCCATGTTCTTCTCTTTTCGCTGCAGGCTTATGTTTCATATTGTACACATTTTTATTTTTATTTAAAGTTATTTTTACATGGCAGTGGAATGTGTCTTCTTCTGTCCACATTAACCCCGTTGGACTTGCAGGGCACTCCCTTAAAAGGAACTGTTGCTTAGTGTATTAGACGGCTAAACCAGACCTCTTAGGTCACTTCTCCCTGTATGCTTTCTGAGGAAATGCAGATTGGTTGGTGTTAACTAAGGATTCAGATTCAGGATCTTTGTTCCTATGGCAAGTGAAAATGCCCACATGCAAAAATGGCTGAGGGTCTGAAAGACAGATTGTTTTGTGGAAAGTAAAGAGCTCTGGTCTAGAAGAAGCTGTTTCCCTAAGGCGTGTTAGGGTGTGATTTCTGTGCGGGGCTGCAAAGCTACTGCATGAATCATAATGGCTCATTGAAATGTACTGACCTTGCTGTAAATCTAAGGACTGCTTCCTGAGCACACATTCCTGAACGCTGGGGAGACATTGAGTTTTAGAAGTAAGCTTTGAGCTTTGGCTCAGCGCCTGTGGCTCAAGCGGCTAAGGCGCCAGCCACGTACACCCAAGGTGGCGGGTTCGAATCCCCAGCCCGGGCCCGCCAAACAACAATGATGGCTGCAACCAAAAAAT